GTTTAACGAAAAATTACGTAAATTAAGTTGAAATTGTAATACAATACGAAGAAAAAAATGAACGACGACGACAACAAAACACACAGTAATGGTAGACAACAACTATGTAGACGACGATGATGATGATTATGATGACGAAGTCATTAGGTGGACGATATTATCATTTCAACTGGTTGTTGCAATCAAATGAAATTTAACCAAATTTAGTTACCGCGGAAAGGTGGGGAAAACACTTAAAAATATTTTATATTTTTTTAACTTTCACTTATTTTCATAAAAAATATGGTTTGCTACTCATTTTGGCACAAGGGTGGTGTTGTTGTGGTTAGACAATGACAGTCATACTAGTAATGGATGACATTTGTCATACTACACTTGGGGGGGAATAGACAATAATCATACAAAACAAGGGGTAAATGGGGGGATGTTTTTCCTTTTTTTTTTTCCTTTCAATAACGGTATCGAAGACAAGTGATTTTATTTTTTTGTTAACACAAAGCAAGTTTTCGTTGTTCTCCACTTCCTGTATTGTTTTCCGCAAGTTGTTGTTATTGTTGTTGATTATTGCAAATTTTTGGAATGTATTGTAATTATTTCACTTATTTTTTTGCACTCTGTGTTTTACATACATATCCTCTTTCACATGCACTTACACCAATACAACTGATTCGCCCAAGAGACAATGTGATGACTCTTCGTAATTTCTTTTATTTATATTTTCTTATTTTTTTTAATATGTAGAACAAAACAAATACGAAAAAATATTGAATAATTTAATTAGAAAATCATCTCATATTGGTTGGCTAACTGATTGACGTACAAACAGGGAGAAAAATAACGTTAACCATTAAAATTATAAACTGATACTACCCGACTTTGACAAAATACGTGCGTACAAGTCGCCGAGAACAGGGATACTTAGGCCGACTTGTGATTAGTCGCCTAAAAACCGAAAAGTTCGCAAATTGATTAATCGATTTTTGGCTGTTATCGACACTTTAATTAATCTTTTAATTTACGCTAAGTTCCGACAAGCCTCGTCTCGCGCTAGACCAATATCCGTTTGTGTTAAAATTACAAATGGAAATTAATTTTTAAAACAAAATGTCTGTTTCCGAACCAGAATTAATAGATCTGTACTGAAAGAATCCACTAGTTTTTACAACTTTTTCGATATCATATAGGAAAATTTGTTATCGATTTAAAACTTTTTACTACGATAATAATTGATGATGTTGAAAAAATATTAAAAATTAATAGGTTTTTGCAGGACGAGAACATACTAAAGGTAATTAAGGAGGAGTACATATATTTTATGATATGTTCCCGACCTGAAGAAACTACTAGATTTTACTATTTTCTTCGATATCATAAAGGAAAATTCGTTATCATAGTAAGAAGTAGCAGATTCTTGCAGTACGGGAACAGGACATTAATCAATGAAAAGAAATTTGGAATTACCTGACTAGATTTGACGTAAATTAGTAATAATATTGAAATTAAGCTCCAAAAATATGATTATGAAAATATGCAAGAAATCTTTTAAGAATTCCTGATATGTAATGAGGTTATAAATCTGTTGCAGAACCTGCAAAAAGATACAACTTTACACCGCGATACAAATCTGTTCTTCGAAAAAAAATATATATTTTTTTAAGTAAAATTTTGGCCTTGATTTTTTTAAAAATAAATTTTAAGTGCAATTTTAGGCGTTGGTTTTATAGAAATAGCTTTAAAGTAAAAATCTAAAAATTGGAATGTTTCGAAATATATTTTTTTTTAAGGGAACCCCCCCCCCCATTCTCGATTTGAATTTTTTAAGATTTTCAATGGGCTGGTAAATCAATACCAATGCTTGTTAAGGTTTGTAACTTTGCACATATATAATTGAAGATTTAAAAAAGAAGAAAAATAATTTACAAAAAATTTTTGTTATTGTTTTGTTGTTGTTTTTTGTAATTAAAGAAAAGTCCTTATTTTTGATGGCGGGCATGATAACTCCTCACTGGAACATCGGAATCCGAAAATTCCAACGGTGATAGAAAGAGTACATGTCTGCCTCTCGTATGAACTAGGATTATTGACTTCGCTCTAAAATTAACAAAATGGTGGACCTTTGAAAAAATATTTTTGGAAAATCGCCGATTTTTGACCAAAAACCAAATTAAAAAATAAGGAAGATCTTCACCGATTGGCTTTATCCTAGTTCATACGAGAGCTATACACTCCCAGAGAAACGATGCAAAATTTGGAACCGATTGGATTATTAGTTTTTGAGTTATCGTGCCCGCCATTCGCAAAAAAATGTTTAGAGAAAAACGCGTTTAAAGTTTGAGAAACCCTTTAGCCGTCACTTGATGCTGACACACTAAATCGGATATATCTTCAACAGTTCTTGAGATTTTCACTTGAAATTTTGTAGAGACATTCTTTAATCAGTGTAGATTCGAATTATATCAACAAAAATTTTGACCCCGAGAATGGGGGGGGGTCCCCTTAAGTACAATTTTAGAGTGACCTTTTTAAAAATAATTTTCAAGTAAAATTTTTGTCATGAATTTTCTGAAACTATTTTTAACCAATATTTTAGGTGTGGATTTTAATTTTTTTTAATTAATTTTGCAAAATTTTAATTCAAAAATTAAGTAAACTTTAGGCTTGGATTTGGATGTACATTTTTTAAAGATATTTTTTTTTCAATTAAAATTTTGAACTTGGATTTATCGTGGATTTTTTAAAAATACTTTTTTTCAAATAAAATTTTTAGCTTAAATTTATGTGTGGATTTTTTAAAAAATACCTTTTTCAAGTAAAATGTAACGCTTAAATTTATAAGTGGACATTTTAAAAATACTTTTTCAAGTAAAATTTTAAGGTTGGATTTAGGCGTAGATTTGTTAAATATGTTATTTAAGTAAAATTTTAGGCGTGAATATTTTAAATATATGATTTAAGTAAAATTATAGGCGTGAATATTTTAAAAATACTTTGTTGAAGTAAAATTTTAGACTTGGATTTATCGTGGGTCTTTTAAACATAGTTTTTTCAAGTAAAATTTTAGGCTTGCATTTAACGTGGATTTTTTTTTTTAAATACCTTTTGTCAATAAAATTTTAGGGTATGATTTATGCATGGATTTGTTAAATATATTTATTTAAGTAAAATTTTAGGCTTGGATTTTTTAATAATACTTTTTTTCAAATAATATTTAAAGCTTGGATTTAGGCGTGGATTTTTTAAAAATACTTTTCCAAGTGAAATTTAAGGCCTAGATATACGTGTCTTTTATCAAGACACGGATATTTTGAATATTATATTTTCAAGTAAAATTGTAGACGTGGATATTTGAAAAATATTTTTTAATAAAGTGTTATGCGTGGATTTTTTGTCAAAATGCACCTTGTCAAGTCTTTACGGTTTCTTTGTCTATGTTTATTTCATATATGTGCAATCTATTTGACAATATAGATCTACTGAATTTACTAAATCCAAATTGTATCTAAACGCATTAAATTCAATATTTCTGTAATAAAAATATTTTTAATGAATTTGAAATATGTTTATACACACACCTTCGTATAAACATGGTCTACAAATACTAAAGCTAAATAAAGGGAAATCGTACAACAATTCGTATAACAAAACGTACGTACAATACAAAGCTGTTATCAATATGGCAACGTTAAAAAGTATCATAAAAAAAGCTCCCAAAAAACAACAACAAACAACAGCTGTATGAATTTTGGCATATTGTTTTGTTTACATACTTCTTTAGGAACGCCAAATTATTTGTTGAATGTAAGTTTTTCCTTTTGTAGATATAAATAATTAATAAACTATTAAACATAATTATTTAAATTTTCAGATGCGTAAACGTGAACTGCAAAGTATACCCCTTAAATTGGCCGAACTAAAGGAATACGATAATGCCAAGGCTGAAAGACTGCTGAACAAAAGTAGAAATTCATCGGCCGGTGAAAGCAGTACGTCCAAAGAACCATCACCCATAGCTAATGTAGGACCAAAAACCAAAAAAGAAATCCAAGAACGTTTAAATACTACAATGTAGTTGAAGATAAGAAACAAAAATATATTTTATACTATTGAATAGTTAAGGAAACAGCGATGGAGGTTTTGTTTTTTTTTTCGGTGAATTAAGATGGTAGTGGTTGTTGCTTGTAAAACTTCGATAAGAAAATTTTAAATGGTGTGGAAATATAAATGTGAACTCGGATTATTTGAAAAAGAATGTCCTAATTATGAATGCTGTATTCTAGCATTGCCTTTAAGCAGTTGAATTATGGTCAAGAATATACAAATCCATTCTGGATTTTTTTCACACTCTTCATAAATTAAAAAAAACTGAAGCATACTTGTAGGCGTTGGGTATTCATATCTCCATACATATTTGACTGGTTTGGAAGTGTTATAAGATTGTATTGTATGTGAATATTGAGTTAATTTTTTAATTAACAACATTGTTTCAATGAGTTTTGTGACAACCCGATTTTTTTACATTCTTAACCCTTTTATAGGGAATGCAATGAAAAAGCAGCTGCATAATTTAATTCAGTTTGTAATTATTAACGTATATACAAATGATCTTTTTATGAAATAAGCAGACATAGAAACCGCATTTTAAATATTGCATATATTTTAATTTATTTGAAAAATATTATTTACAATGATTAAAATATAGAATAACGTGTGTATATATGGATGTTGCTTTGGTTAAACTGGTTGATCACAACTATTAAAATAGGTATAACAAATATTGGATGTCTACTAATTTCACTTTTATTATATATTTATATAATGGGTTATATGTATATGCATAGGTCTATATCATCTTTACTTTTAGGTACACTTTTATTTCAGAATATATATTTTGTTTGAAAGCCTTATAATTTCGACTAAAATAGAAATATATAGAGTTTAAGATTCATACCCAGTTGACGCATTATTCCATTGATATCTGTTGGTCTATTTTCAGCACCGCCTTAAAATCCCAATACGCCCAAGCCCTCACGTAACCTTTGAGGTATATTTTGGTATCTGTAAAAGAATCAAAATTATTGTTGTATCTATTTTTATATCCCCACGTGAGCTTACTTCATTGCCATCTTTCCGCTTAGTGTTTGAGCCACAATGAAGGATAATATAAAACCTTGGCCTAGCATTATGTATGACTTATTAAAAGAACTCAATGGCTTGTCTACAATTGCATCTTCAATGTAGCGAATGTTGCAATTTTCCACTCCTCTGATCTCATTTCTTCTATTTTCAGCGGATAAACGTTCATAGCGGGAGTCTGCTCGTTGAATGCGTTCTTCATTGGTATTTTGGCGATTATTCATTTCGCGTGTTTGACGAGTTTCAACATCCATTGCTCGTCGTAGTACATTTCGCTCGTTGCGTCTGTTAGTGCGTTCTGTATCACGAGATTCAATTCGCCGGTCTTCAATTTGACGAATTCGTCGAGAATCAATTTCCATTGACCGATCAACATTTCTATCTTCATAATCTTCCCTATTGTCTACTCGTCGTTTTAACAGATTCATATCTTCTTGCATGGATTCACGTTCTTGTCTTCCCTCCTCACGCTGGACGCGATCCTCACGAATAATATTGGATACAATTCCATTAGATAATCGTAAATCATCATTCCTACTGCGACTTTCAGAGCGACAATCATGAATTTCACGACGGGACAGAATTCGCTCATCATTACGGCGGTCTTCAACATCACGTCGTTGATCAGGACCAGATCTTTGTGACAGATGTCGTCGTATGTCACCTTCTCGGCATCCACGTTCCTGCTGTCTATCATCTTTACGTGCATCTCGAATTTCGCGATCGGTTGTAATGCTTCGTCGTGATACGTCACGCCTTTCTCGTACCTCGCTAATACGAGTGGATACATCTTCATTGAACCACCGTGAATATTCTCGGTCTTGTTCTTCTCTATCATCAATACGTTTATCTAAAATTTCGAATCTCTTGTCAGTAGATCGCCTTGGTTCATCCCGAACTTCGCGAATTCGTCTAGAATCTTCTAAACGGGAGCGTTGTGATTCCAATGGTTCGTAGTCTTTCCTCTCCTGTAGCCTATTTTCCATTTCTTCAACTTCACGAATTCGTTCAGTGTCAGATCGCTGTGATTGAAGTCGTCGTGTAACTTCTTCCCTGCGTTCTCGTTGTTCCTGTCCATCTTCACTGCGTATCTCACGACGGTCTTCAACTTCGCGAACTTGTTCAGTGGCAGATCGTTGTGATTCTAATCGCCGTACGACTTCTTCCCTGTGTTCTCGTGTTTCCTCTCTATCGCCATCGCTTTCATCTCGGATTTCACGTTGCCTATCTTCAGTTCGCTTAGATTCAACTCGTAACCTGCCATCTTTGCGAATACGATTGGATTCATCAACAATAGAGCGACGTGATTCGAATCGTGCATAGTCCCTTCCGTTATCGATACGTTCGTCTCGAATTTCACGTCGTCTATTGCTATCTCGTTGAGATTCAACTCGTAGCCTGTTGTCTTTCTTTCCATCACGCATTCCTCGGACTTCACGTATTCGATCAGATGCATTTTCATTGCGGTCTTCTTCTCGTCTAGCCTGTAGAGCTTCATGTCTCCTGTCGCTAGTTCGCCGAGATTCAGATCGTAAACCTTTATCGTTATTATCATCACGACCTAGGTGTTCTTCGCGAATACGATTGATTTCATCAACATTATAGCGACGAGATTCGAATCGTTCATAATCCCTTGCGTTATCGATACGTTCATCTTGAATTTCACGTCGTCTGTCGCTATCTCGTTGTAATTGAACTTGAAGCCTAGTATCTGTATTTTCAAAACGCCTTTCTCGAACTTCACGAATTCGATCGAAAATGTTTTCATTACGGTCTTCCTCTCGTCGATCATCGTTACGTGTACCTAGAGTTTCAGTTCTCCTCTCGTTATTTCGCCGTGATTCAACTCCTAAAGCATATTCGTTTCGTTCTTCGCGAATACGATTGGATTCATCCATATTAGAGCGTCGTGATTGAATTCGTAAAGTGTTCTCTTTGTTTTCATCACGTCGCTGACGAACTTCCCCCATACGTTCGTTAGAACGTTCAGTATCTACTCGACTAATTTCAGCTCGGTCCTCTCGCTCTCGCCTAGTATTGTCTCGCCGATTTTCATTGCGACCTAATTCCATGTCGTTAATAGCTTTTCGGGAATCAAATCGTCGTGTGTCGCGTTCGGTTTTATTCTCTCGTCGCGTGTCCATATTACGTTCGTTACGATTATGTATCTTTCGCTCTACTGATTGTCGCCTATTGTTATTCTCGCTTTGGCGTGTTTCAAAACGCCGCTCTTCATTGCCATTGCGATTTTCTCGTTTTAATCCATTCTCAGTACGACGATTGGAAATTTGGCGATAATTTTCAGATTCTGCAACATTATTTCTCTCATTTTCATTCCGTTCAATAAGTCGGACGTCGCATTCCCTGAATTCGTTTCCCTCCTTGAGATTATTTAAATCCGATTTATTCTCATCGCGACGATAAAGAACTTCACGATATCTCTCCATGTTACTGTCTCTTCGGTTGACTTGGCGTTCTCCTTCAATTCGTTGCTGAGCGCTAGATGTTCTTATACGGCTATCAGGGGAACAAGATTCTATCATCTCCCGTGGTTGTCGCATTGTATCATCGAAGCGATCGGAAATTCGCTCTCGTTGCCTTTCAATACGACTTTCAATATCATCGTTGCTGATACGTTTCAGAAATTCATGACGATTGTTATTGGTTGAGGTATGGTCGGCAGTTATTTCCCGTTTTAGGCCAACATCTAGTTCATAACAAAACTCTCGTTCACATGTTAGCGTTATATGTTGTCCAAAAATTGGGACCAACAATAGAAGGCCGATAACTGTGTTTAACTGCCACGGTTTTATAAACATATTTACGTTTACTATGTTTGTTTGAAATATTTTTTTTTAGTTTTGATTCTATAGAAGTCTTGGACTTGACTGTTGTAATACCGGCATTCCATTGGTCCTTTTATACTCAAAGATGCCTTGACGTTGTAGAATTTTTTTATTGAAATTCAATTGAACAAAATTTAATTTATTTTTCTCTTATCGCACATGTACACCATGGCTGAGGATATCACATTCTTCATATATTCAATGTAGGTGTGTAAAAATGTGTGTGTTTCACAATTTTTATGAATGAAAAGTGTGAATGAAATTCATTCATGCGAATTTTCTGTAAACTTTGACGTCATAGAATGTAGAGAATTTTAAAGATTATTTCATACTGGACTGCTAATAAAATGACACTTATAATCATATTAAAGCAGCCAGTCGGAAAATGATTGATTAGACAGATTGATATTATATTTAAACGATTTTTTTACAGGCCTTTCCGCAGGAGGCTAATAATCATTTTATAAAAAATGAATGAACCTCTTATGGAATACAAGTACGTTTTCAATATGTGAAAGTCCACTAGCTCTTGTCATGGAAGACGAATTGGTTTTCTCAAAGAATGTTGCCCTTCTCTTTTTTATAGACGAAAATATGTTCTTGTAGAATACGGTCTTATATGAATAGGTTCTTATAAATACCAGAAGAATAGGATGTCTTATAGAATACCAATTGGCCTTCGTATGGAAGACAAGTAGGTCTTCTTATAAATACAAGAATATCGGTATATCTTCATATAGAATACCTGTAGATCTTCTTAGAGAAAACCAATAAGTCTTTTCATAATTCAGAAGAACACCAGTAAGTTTTTTTATTGAAGACTCGTAAGTTCTCCCATAGAAGACCAATAGAAAACAAATAGCTTCTTATAAATACTAGAAGACCACAATGCCTTATATAAGACCAGTTTATCTTCTTTTAAGAGAAAATTAAGATTTTCTATGGAAGACCATTAGGCCTTCTCAAAAATAGCAGCAAACTTGTTTATCTTCACATAGCAGACTAGTATGTCTTCTTAAAGAAACCCAACAGATTTTCCTTTATATACCACAATACCTGGATGTCTTATAGAAGACCAAGAGGTCTTATTGAAGAGGACCATTAGGCCTTCTCGAGTAGGTATTATAGAAGAACAGCTTTGTCAGAAACCCAATATAATATATGCAGACAAATAGGTCTTCAAAAATACAAGAAAGTATACCACTATGTCTTCTCATAGAAGACCTATAGGCTTTCTCATAGAAAACCAATAGTTTTTTTATAAATATCTGAAGACCAATATATGTCATTTAGTAGAATACCAGTATGCAATATTTTAGAGGACTAGAAGGTCATATTGTAGAAGACTAGTACACCTTCTGGTGGCAACCAGTTTGTGTTCTTATAGAAGTCCAGAAGATTTTCTTATAAAAATCATTAAGTCTTCTCATATAAGATCAATAAGCCTTCTTCATAGAAAACCAATTGACCTTCGTATAAACACCAAATAACCTATTGGTCTTCTTGTAAAAGGCCAGTAGAGCCATCAAGATTTGTTCTTTGTAGATTTGTGTTTTAGTAGTCATTTAAGAAGTCCTTGCAAAATGATTCTTTAAAAATTCCACACTTATGGGAGTCTTTTAAACAGGTAAAACGATGTTATTTTCGGATGAGGATGACAATAAAAATATCTAAAATTAATGGGTCTCCCAGGAGAAAACTCTTGCTATGAATAGACCTTGAATATACCGAAAAATACGTTATATGGGCTATAATAAAACGGAGATCAATATTGATATTTTTTCGTAGTGAGATTTGACAACCAATGTAAAACGTGTCCAAAATTCTCAAAATAAAAATCTACCATATTAAGGTACCCTTAAACGTGAGTCCTTATTAAAAAATTTTAGTACGGAAATGTGCTATATAATGAGAGCTCAAAATACAAAATTACAGCCATGTTGGTTGGAAAACGTGCTTAACATCGCCAAAATACTGAATACTGAGGGGTACCGTTTTATGGTGGCTGCCCTGAAACTTGGGTCAATATTAATAATTTTGGGTATGGATACGTGTTAGAACCCAAATCACACAATTACAGGCAATTCAGTGAAAAAACGTGTCCCAAGTCCATAGAATACCTAGAACCCCACATACCAAATTGCAGGCAATTCGGTTAGAATGCGTGTCCAAAATCCCCTAAATACTGAATACTGAGAGGTACCGTAATATGGGGGCTACATCAAAATTACAATTATGGGGGCTACATCAAAATTACAATTAATCAATTAGAAACCAAAATACCAAATAATAGCCAGTTCGGTTGGAAAACGGGTACAAAACCTTCAAAATACCGAATATTAGGGGGTTACGGTAATATGGGGGCTACCCCAAAACGAGAACCGATATATGTCATTTGCAATAGCTAGGAGAACTAGCAATGTCTGTGAAAAATTTCATAGCTCTATCTTAAATATTGTGATCTCAATTACCTGATTTCAACAGACGGATATGAGTAAATCCGTCTGTTGAAATCACGATTAACATAGAATTTTATTCTGATCAAGAATGTATATACGTTGTGGGGTCTGCGATGAATATTTGGAGGTGTTACAAATGGAATGACAACTTTAATATACACTCCAGGAGGGTATAAAAATATACACTTTCGGTAAAATACATTCTTTAAAAAAATCCACACTTAGTCCTTGAAAAATATTCCTTAAAAATCCACGACTTAATAGTCCATGAAACAATATTCTTTAGAAAACCACGCCTTAATAGGACTTATAATAGTTGTTGAAAAATTGCCTTTAAAAAATCCACGCCTTATAGTCGTTGACAAAATATTCCTTAAAAATCTACTTCTTATACAGGGTTAGATAAAAAAACTGAAACAAAGTCAAACGCCATAATTTTTTTTATTGTTATTGAATGAAAGCAAAAAATGTCGGAAATAGCATCAAATTTTAGAATAAGTTTAAATTTGTTCGAATTGGTCACCTTTGGCACGTATTATGGATACCAACGGATTGGTATCTGGAGTTTTGGTGGCCATTGTGCGCTGGAAATGAAGCGAGGAACCTCATTTTGTAACCATTCTAGGGTGGCGCGGGCTGAGTGCGATGGTGCTGAGTCATGTTGAAATGTCCAAGGTCTGCGGCCAAAATGTTTGCGTGCCCAAGGTTTTTATATACCCTATAGAATATTTTCGCGATAAGCTGTCGGACGAGTGGCTTAGAAATGACAGCAGTCTGAAGTTGGTTGCAGTTTTTCCATCTCACCCTGTAACAGTTTTTAAAAAATATTTTTAAAAAATCCACGCCTTATAATAGTCGATGAAAAAATATTCTTTGAAAAATAAAAAATACGGCTTGAAATTATTTTTCAATATTTAATATTATACATTCAATAAAACAAATTTAGTTTTTCATTATTGCATATTTTTTAAATTGTTTGCATAAAATATTTATTTATAACGATTAAATAAAGAATAACGTGTGTATATATGTATGTTGCTTTTGTTAAACTCGTTGCTCACAACTATTTTATTTCTCGGATAATATAAATATAGGATAACTGTTGATTTCAGTTTTAGTACATATTTTTATATGTGCATAGGTCTATATCATCTTTGCTTTTAGGTACACATTTGTTTCAGAATACTTTTGTTGCTTAAAAAACTAATAATTTCGACTAAAATAGAAATATATACAGTTTCATAGCCAGTTGTCGCATTAATCCATTGATATCGTTTGGTCCATTTTCAGTAACGTCTTAAAATCCCAATACTCCCAAGCCTTCGCGTAACTTTTGAGGTATATTTTGGTATCTGTAAAGGCATCAAAGTTATTGGAATATCAATTTATATACGAATGGGAGCTTACTTCATTGCCATCTTTCCGCCTAGTGTTTGAGCCACAATGAAGGATAAAATAATGCCTTGGCCGAGCATTATGTATGACTTATTAAAGGAACCCAATGGCTTCTCCACAATGTCGTCTTCAATGTAGCGAATGTTGCGATTTTCCAATCCTCTGATTTCATTTCTTTCATTTTCAGCGAAAAAACGGTCATAACGATCACTTTCGCTGGAATCAGCTCGTTGAATGCGAGTTTGACGAGTTTCACCATCCATTGATCGTCGTAGTACATCTCGCTCGTTGCGTCTGTCAGTGCGGTCAGTACCACGATATTCAATTCGTCGGTCATTAATTTGACGAATTCGTTGAGAATCAATTTCCATTGGCCGATCTTGTCTTCCCTCCTCACGCTGGACGCGATCCTCACGAATAATAGTGTAGGCAATTTCATTAGATAATCGTAAATCGTCATTCCGGCGGAGACTTTCAGTACGACGATTTGGAATTTCACGACGAGACTGAATTCGCTCATCGTTACTTTCATTGCGTGTTTCACCGTCTCTAATATTTTCATCACGTCGATTGCGAACTTCTCCGTCGGATTGATTTTTATTGCGTGTTTCACGGTCTCTAATATTTTCATCGCGTCGATTGCGAATTTCTTTGTTGGATTGACTTTCAGAAGATTGTTGTCGCCGTGACCGTCGTTGAGTTTCCCTTTCGGCAGTATTTACACGACGTGTAGTTTCCCGTTCACTGCTAGCTATACTATTTTCATTGCGTCGTTCCCTGACTTCACGATTCATTTGGGAGGTATCAAGTCGAAGTGTTCTGTCGTGTTCTTGTTCATTTTCAACATGACTTTCTGCGTTTTCACGAACATTATCGGAGTTCCTAGTATCTACTACACGTCGTTCCCTTGTTTCGCGAATTCTTTCGTATGTACCAGTTGATCGCTGTGATTCAAATCGGCTAGTAGGTTCATTAGTTCGTTCTCTTTCTTCTCGTCTAATTTCCATGCGATCTTCGTTTATTGCACGTGGAATATCTCGTGATGCATTTTCATCTCGGCGGTGTCGATCTTCATTGGAGCGTAGTGATTCAGTCCTGCCTTCTCGCCTATTATCGTTACGTTGATCCAATATTTCACGTTGACCATATCGTTCACTTCCTTCTCGCCTAATGTCGATGCGATCTTCCTTCATTTCACGTCGATTATCACGCACTGTATTGTCTCTGCTGTCATCACGGTGTTGTCGAACTTCGCGAATACGATCATCTACATTTTCATTGGACCGTTCCGGTTCTGCTCGCTCTTCATGTCTTAGTCTATTTTCTACTTGGGTATTGTCACGGTCATTCCGACGGTCTTCAACTTCTCGTCGTTGCTCAGGACCAGATCTTTGCATCACAAGTCGTTGTGATTTACTTTCTACGCGTTCACGCTCTTGCTGGCTGTCATCGTTAAGTGCATCTCGAATTTCGCGTTGGGGTTTAATGGTTCGTCGTGATATGTTTTCATTGTTTTCGTCACGCCTTTCTCGTACCTCACGAATACGAGCGGATACATCTTCATTTAACCCACGTGAATCTTCTCGGTCTTGTTCTTTTCTTTCATCGATACGTTTATCTAAAATATCGAATCTCTTGTCAGTAGCTCTCCTCGATTCTTCCCGAACTGCACGAATTCGTCTAGATTCTTCTAAACGGGAGCGTTGTGATTCCAATGGTTCGTAGTCTTTCCTCTCCTGTAGCCTATTTTCCATTTCGGCATTATACCGATCATTACGTCGGTCTTCAACTTCACGAATTCGTTCAGCGGCAGATCGGTGTGATTCAAGTCGTCGTGTTACTTCTTCTCTGCGTTCTCGTTGTTTCTGTCCATTTTCACTTTCTCGCACTTCTCGTATGCGATCAGAAACATTTTCGCTGGACCGTTCTCTTTCCTCTCGGATTTGTTCACGTCTATCGTCGTTACGTTCATCTAAAGTTTGAAGTCTCCTGTCGCTAATTCGGCGTGATTCCAGTCGCTCGTCATTGTTATCATGCCTTTGGCGAATTTCACGAATTCGACTGGATTCATCTAAGCGGGAGCGTTGTGATTCTAAACGGTCGTTGTCTTTCCTATCCTGTAGCCTAGTTTCTATTTCGATATTGTCTCGCACAATACGCCGGTCTTCACCTTCACGAACTTGTTCAGTGACAGATCGTTGTGATTCAAGTCGTCGTGTGACTTCTTCCCTGCGCTCTCGTGTTTCCTGTCTATCGCCATTACGTTCATCTCGGATTTCACGTTTCCTATCTTCAGTTCGCCGTAATTGAACTCGTAACCTGTCATCTTCGCGAACACGATTGGATCCATCTCTGGCGTTATCGATACGTTCATCTCGAATTTCACGTCGTGTATCGATATTATGTTGTGATTCATCACGCCTTTCTCGGACTTCACGAATTCGATAGGATGCATTTTCATTGCGGTTTTCTTCTTGTCTCCTGTCGCTATTTCGCCGTGATTCAACTCGTAAAGCATTTTCGTTTCGTTCTTCGCGAATACGATTGGATTCATCCATATTAGAGCGGCGGGATTCATAGTATCTCGCATTATTGTTACGTTCATCGCGCTGTGATTCAATTCGTAAAGTGTTATCTTTGTTTTCATCACGACGCTGACGAACTTCCCTCATACGTTCGTTAGAACGTTCAGTATCTACTCGACGAATTTCAGCTCGGTCTTCTCGCTCTCGCCTAGTATTGTCTCGCCGGTTTTCATGTGATTCAACTCGTAGCCTGTTATCTTTATTTTCATCACGCCTTTCCCGGTCTTCACGAATTCGATCGGAAATGTTTTCATTACGGTCTTCCTCTCGTCTATCATCGTTACATACATCTAGAGTTTCAGTTCTCCTGTCGTTATTTCGCCGTGATTCAACTCGTAAAGCATTTTCGTTTCGTTCTTCGCGAATACGATTGGATTCATCCATATTAGAGCGGCGGGATTCATAGTCTCTCGCATTATTGTTACGTTCACCGAGATGTGATTCAATTCGCAGAGCGCTCTCTTTGTTTTCATCACGCCGCTGACGAACTTCCCTCATACATTCGTTAGAACGTTCAGTACCTACTCGACGAATTTCATCTCGTTCCTCTCGCTCTCGCATAGTATTGTCACGCCGGTTTTCATTGCGACTTAATTCCATGTCGTTAATAGCTTTTCGGGAATTAAATCGTCGTGTGTCGTGTTCGGTTTTAATCTCTCGTCGTGTGTCCATATTACGTTCGTTACGATTTTGCATCTCTCGCTCTACTGATCGTTGCCTTTGAATGGCACGTGTTTCAAAACGCCGCTCTTCATTGTCATTACGATTTTCTCGTTCTAATCCATTCTCAGTACGACGATTGGAAAATCGGCGAGAATTTTCGGAGTCTGCAACAATATTTCTCGCAATTTCATTTCGTCGTTCAGTTTGATCAGCACGACGGTTCTCGCGCTCCCTGATTTCGTTTCTCTCATTGAGATTATTTCGATCAGATTTATTCTCGTCGCGACGATAACGAACTTCCCGATATCTCTCCATGTTACTGTCCCTTCGGTTGTCTTGGCGTTCTCGTTCAGCGCTAGATGTTCTTATACGGCTATCAAGGGAACGAGATTCTCTCGTCTCTTGTTGTTGCCGGATTGTATCATCGGAACGATCAGAAATTCGCTCTCGTTGTCTTTCAATACGATTTCCAATGACATCGTTATTAATATTTTTCAAAAATTCATTACGATTGTTATTGATTGAGGTATCGGATGTAGTTACTTCCCACATGAGGCCAACATTTCGGTCATAACAAACCTCTCGTTCACATGTTCGGCGGGTTAGATGCTGTTGGCCAAAAATTGGCACCAACAATATTAGGCTGAAAGCAGCTTTTAACTGCCAAGAGCCAAACAACATTTTCACTTGTAAGGCTTTGTTTAACTGTTCTCTGGCTTCCTTGGTTTTGAACTTTAGAAAAATTCTAGTTAATTTCTGAACTTTCTATTGACTTGGCTAAGTTTTCGTATTGAGTTTCTCCGCGTGGTTACTTTCGTTATATTCGATTTGTTTCGTTCGAAGTCGCTGTAGTGACTGATGTCCTGCTAGGCTTTCGCAGCTCCTTTTATACTCATAAATAAAGGATGTTTCTATCGTTTCTCATTTTTTTTTATTGAATTTCAATTAAATAAAAATCTGATTTATTTCTATTCCTTATCGAACAGGCACACTATGCTGCAGGACATGGTAACATTTATCCCGCATCCTTTATTTGTGTTATATGCTTCAACGAATTTATATTGTTGTTCGTTTTTTTCCTTCGTTTCACACTTTTCATGAATGAAATTTCGTTCGCACAATGAAATTCATTGATAAGAATTTTCTCACTTGCGTGTGACGTCATTGTCTGTTGTCTGGCAGAGAATGAATGGATTGGCTTGACTTCATAGAAAAACATGGGTGAAGGGGTATTAAGTGGTATTAAGGACCAATAGAAGGCGTGGATTTTTTAAAGAATATTTCTTCAAGGACCAATACAAGGCGTGGATTTTTTAAAGAATATTTCTTCAAGGACCAATACAAGGCGTGGATTTTTTAAAGAATATTTTTTCTAGGACCAAGACAAGGCGTGGATTTTTTAAAGAATATTTTTTCAAGGACCAATATAAGGCGTGGATTTTTTAAAGAATATTTTTTCAAGGACCAATACCAGGCGTGGATTTTTTAAAGAATATTTTTTCAAGGACCAATACAAGGCGTGGATTTTTTAAAGAATATTTTTTCAAGGACCAATACAAGGCGTGGATTTTTTAAAGAATATTTTTTCAAGGACAAATATAGGCGTGGATTTTTTAAAGAATATTTCTTCAAGGACCAATACAAGGTGTGGCTTTTTAAAGAATATTTCTTCAAGGACCAATACAAGGCGTGGATTTTTTAAAGAATATTTTTTCAAGGACCAATACAAGGCGTGGATTTTTTAAAGAATATTTTTTCAAGGACCAATACAAGGCGTGGATTTATTAAAGAATATTTTTTCAAGGACCAATACAAGGCGTGGATTTTTTAAAGAATATTTTTTCAAGGACCAATACAAGGCGTGGATTTTTTAAAGAATATTTTTTCAAGGACCAATACAAGGCGTGGATTTATTAAAGAATATTTTTTCAAGGACCAATACAAGGCGTGGATTTTTTAAAGAATATTTTTTCAAGGACCAATACAAGGCGTGGCTTTTTAAAGAATATTTTTTCAAGGACCAATACAAGGCGTGGCTTTTTAAAGAATATTTTTTCAAGGACCAATACAAGGCGTGGCTTTTTAAAGAATATTTTTTTAAGGACCAATACAAGGCGTGGATTCTTTAAAGAACATTTTTTCAAGGACCAATACAAGGCGTGAATTTTTTAAAGAATATTTTTTTCAAGGACCAATACAAGGCGTGGATTTTTTAAAGAATATTTTTTCAAGGACCAATACAAGGCGTGGATTTTTTAAAGAATAGTTTTTCAAGGACCAATACAAGGCGTGGATTTTTTAAAGAATAGTTTTTCAAGGACCAATACAAGGCGTGGATTCTTTAAGGAACATTTTTTCAAGGACCAATACAAGGCGTGAATTTTTTAAAGAATATTTTTTTCAAGGACCAATACAAGGCGTGGATTTTTTAAAGAATATTTTTTCAAGGACCAATACAAGGCGTGGATTTTTTAAAGAATAGTTTTTCAAGGACCACAAAAAGGCGTGGATTTTTTAAAGAATATTTTTTCAAGGACCACCAATACAAGGCGTGGATTTTTTAAAGAATATTTTTTCAAGGACCAATACAAGGCGTGGATTTTTTAAAGAATAGTTTTTCAAGGACCAATACAAGGCATGGATTTTTTAAAGAATATTTTTTCAAGGACCAATACAAGGCGTGGATTTTTTAAAGAATATTTTTTCAAGGACCAATACAAGGCGTGGATTTTTTAAAGAATAGTTTTTCAAGGACCAATACAAGGCGTGGATTTTTTAAAGAATAGTTCTTCAAGGACCAATACAAGGCGTGGATTCTTTAAGGAACATTTTTTCAAGGACCAATACAAGGCGTGAATTTTTTAAAGAATATTTTTTTCAAGGACCAATACAAGGCGTGGTTTTTTTAAAGAATATTTTTTCAAGGACCAATACAAGGCGTGGATTTTTTAAAGAATAGTTTTTCAAGGACCAATACAAGGCATGGATTTTTTAAAGAATATTTTTTCAAGGACCAATACAAGGCGTGGATTTTTTAAAGAATATTTTTTCAAGGACCAATACAAGGCGTGGATTCTTTAAAGAACATTTTTTCAAGGACCAATACAAGGCGTGGATTCTTTAAAGAACATTTTTTCAAGGACCAATACAAGGCGTGAATTGTTTAAAGAATATTTTTTCAAGGACCAATACAAGGCGTGGATTTTTTAAAGAATATTTTTTCAAGGACCAATACAAGGCGTGGATTCTTTAAAGAACATTTTTTCAAGGACCAATACAAGGCGTGGATTCTTTAAAGAACATTTTTTCAAGGACTAATACAAGGCGTGGATTCTTTAAAGAACATTTTTTCAAGGACCAATACAAGGCGTGGATTCTTTAAAGAACATTTTTTCAAGGACTAATACAAGGCGTGAATTTTTTAAAGAATATTTTTTTCAAGGACCAATACAAGGCGTGGATTTTTTAAAGAATATTTTTTCAAGGACCAATACAAGGCGTGGATTTTTTAAAGAATATTTGTTCAAGGACCAATACAAGGCGTGGATTCTTTAAAGAACATTTTTTCAAGGACAAATACAAGGCGTGAATTTTTTAAAGAATATTTTTTTCAAGGACCAATACAAGGCGTGGATTTTTTAAAGAATATTTTTTCAAGGACCAATACAAGGCGTGGATGTTTTAAAGAATATTTTTTCAAGGACCAATACAAGGCGTGGATTTTTTAAAGAATATTTTTTCAAGGACCAATACAAGGCGTGGATGTTTTAAAGAATATTTTTTCAAGGACCAATACAAGGCGTGGATGTTTTAAAGAATATTTTTTCAAGGACCAATACAAGGCGTGGATGTTTTAAAGAATATTTTTTCAAGGACCAATACAAGGCGTGGATGTTTTAAAGAATATTTTTTCAAGGACCAATACAAGGCGTGGATGTTTTAAAGAATATTTTTTCAAGGACCAATACAAGGCGTGGATCTTTTAAAGAATATTTTTTCAAGGACCAATACAAGGCATGGATTTTTTAAAGAATATTTTTTCAAGTACCAATACAAACCGTGGATTTTTTAAAGAATATTTTTTCAATGACCAATACAAGGCATGGCTTTTTAAAGAATATTTTTTCAATGACCAATACAAGGCGTGGATTTTTTAAAGAATATTTTTTCGAGGACCAATGGATTCTTTAAAGAACATTTTTTCAAGGACCAATACAAGGCGTGAATTTTTTAAAGAATATTTTTTCAAGGACCAATACAAGGCGTGGATTTTTTAAAGAATATTTTTTCAAGGACCAATACAAGGCGTGGATGTTTTAAAGAATATTTTTTCAAGGTCGTGGATTTCTTAAAGACTATTTTTTCTTAAAGAATATTTTTTCAAGGACCAATACAAGGCGTGGATTTTTTAAAGAATATTTTTTCAAGGACCAATACAATGTGTGGATTTTTTAAAGAATATTTTTTCAAGGACCAATACAAGGTGTGGATATTTTAAAGAATATTTTTTTAAGGACCAATACAAGGTGTGGATATTTTAAAGAATATTTTTTCAAGGGCCAATACAAGGCGTGGATTTTTTATAGAATATTTTTTCAAGGACCAATACAATGCGTGGATTTTTTAAAGAATATTTTTTTCAGGGACCAATATAAGGCGTGGATTTTTTAAAGAATATTTTTTTCAGGGACCAATATAAGGCGTGGATTTTTTAAAGAATATTTTTTCAGGGACCAATATAAGGCGTGGATTTTTTAAAGAATATTTTTTTCAGGGACCAATATAAGGCGTGGATTTTTTAAAGAATATTTTTTTCAGGGACCAATATAAGGCGTGGATTTTTTAAAGAATATTTTTTTCAGGGACCAATATAAGGCGTGGAGTTTTTAAAGAATATTTTTTTTCAGGGACCAAAATATGGCGTGTATTTTTTAAAGAATATTTTTTTCAGGGACCAATATAAGGCGTGGATTTTTTAAAGAATATTTTTCCATGACCGATATAAGGCGTGGATTTTTTAAAGAATATTTTTTCCATGACCAATATAAGGCGTGGATTTTTTAAAGAATATTTTTTCCATGACCAATATAAGGCGTGGATTTTTTAAAGAATATTTTTTTCAGGGACCAATATAAGGCGTGGATTTTTTAAAGAATATTTTTTTCAGGGACCAATATAAGGCGTGGATTTTTTAAAGAATATTTTTTTCAGGGACCAATATAAGGCGTGGATTTTTTAAAGAATATTTTTTTCAGGGACCAATATAAGGCGTGGATTTTTTAAAGAATATTTTTTTCAGGGACCAATATAAGGCGTGGATTTTTTAAAGAATATTTTTTTCAGGGACCAATATAAGGCGTGGATTTTTTAAAGAATATTTTTTTCAGGGACCAATATAAGGCGTGGATTTTTTAAAGAATATTTTTTTCAGGGACCAATATAAGGCGTGGATTTTTTAAAGAATATTTTTTTCAGGGACCAATATAAGGCGTGGATTTTTTAAAGAATATTTTTTTCAGGGACCAATATAAGGCGTGGATTTTTTAAAGAATATTTTTTTCAGGGACCAATATAAGGCGTGGATTTTTTAAAGAATATTTTTTTCAGGGACCAATATAAGGCGTGGATTTTTTAAAGAATATTTTTTTCAGGGACCAATATAAGGCGTGGATTTTTTAAAG